TCAGCGACAAAAATAGCAGTGAAGCTTGATTGCAGCAAGGAATATCCGTGCACGGGTATGAAGTTGCACAACATAAAGCTGTATTATGGGAAATCAAAGGCACAAACTTTTTGTAGAAATGCACAAGGGAGTTCTTCTGGCTTTGTGATTCCACCAAGTTGTTTCTGAGATTTATTGATTATAGAATGACGATACAGTTAACTTTTCTAAGAACACGAATAATATATGTACGTATGCATTAAAGTTTCAACTTTTGTGGTTTTTGTGCATTTATCATAAGTAGTTTTCTATTTGGCATGAATGAAGTGTTTTATATTGGCTTATGCACATGCTAAAATTCTGATTCAGGCCGACTTTCATCATTTTTTCAATTAATTTGTTTGATGTTTGAAGTTTCTTGTATATAAAATATTCTGAAGAAAATAAATGATTAGAATTCTAGTCATGTATAGATCTGATTTGTGCATTAATAAGTATCATGTGAGGATCAGATGTAAGTTAGGATTAAGAGCACATGGAGACTCACTATAATATGAGAAGGAAAAGAAGAAGAAAAAATACAAGTTGTCAGATGCCTCTCACTATAATAGATTCTTTGTCTTTTTTCTGTTTTTAAGGTACACCAATTGTTTTCGGTTTTTTTTTTTTGTTACGGGATAATGTTATCATATCTGTTTTTTCATATGTTCAAAAATTTTCAGGAGCCCATCCTTTTTTGCAAGCTTTTAATGGCTATTTCTGCCATCAATAAATAAAATTAAAGGTTCATCTAGGAATCTGTGAGAATTTATGGTTAAAAAAAGGGTACACCAATTGTTTATGGTGTAAATTATTTCTCTGTTGCCAACACTTGAAAACAAACTTTCCTCTTATAAGATAGCAAACAAGTTGATCTTGGACAACATTTTTTTGTTTGAAGCTTCACTCACCTTATAACATTTGTATTGAAGAAATTAACAAGTGTTTCAAGTATATTTCTATCTTCTTTTAGGATGAGACGGATCGAGAAGAGGGTGCATTATGTTTCTATATATATATATATATATATATATATATATATAGAGAGAGAGAGAGAGAGAGAGAAAGAGAATGAGAAATGGGTATGCTTGGTACTAAACACAAATTTTGTGCTTAGTAATGAGGTGTCATATTCCCATCCACTCAATCCAATTTTCAACCACTCCCCAACTCATGTGAATGTGAGCCCCGATTTCAATGAGTGGAGGGGAATATGTCACCTCACTACCAAATACAAAAACTTATGTTTTGTACCAAGCATACATATTTTTCTTTTATATATGATGATGATTGTATACGCATGCTCGATTCATAAATTAAAAAAGGGTAAATTACACTAAACCCTCGTGAACTTTCAGCCTTTTGCACTAAACCCCAATGAACTTTTGCAGAAAATCTCCATACTTAACACTGTTAAGTCTAATCTGGCATGAGCAATGCACATGACTAAAAATGACCAAAGTGCCCTTTAACTTATTATAATTAAATTTATGACCTCTTTCTATATATTCAGCACTAATCATAAATCTCTCTTTTTTTTTTTTTTTGTTCTCCGACTGTCCTCTTGAGATCGAGCCCAAACACGGTTTCAGAGAATTTTTTCAAAAAAAGTTCCTTCAAAATTAAGATTTATGCCTTCTTTGTTGTTGTTTATTTGTTCTAATTTTAGAAAAATTATTTTTTTATCTAAGATTTTTAGGGAGTTGGTTTCTTCCTTGAACCCATGGAAGACAGGAGATGCGTTAATGATTTGAGATCTCTTACATAGGTATCTAACACTGCAAGTAACCCAGGGAGACAATGTCTAGGCTGCCCAAATTAGAGGACTAACGATTGTGGTTCCTTTGAGTGGAGATCTGACAAGGTGGAAGAAGATGTTGAAAAAATCAAGTTGTTGTTGTAGAAATTAAAGGTTTTGGAGAGAGAAATTGTTGAGAGAGAGAGAGAGAAGATTTGTCAGCGAGAAATGTATATCGAGAAATAGGTGTAATTTCAAAAAATGTATATCGAGAAATAGATATAATTCCCACAGGTTTATCATTTACTTTATTTTAGGGATTGTTTTTGGTTTTGTGCTTGGATAGATGGGATAATAGAAATTTTGTATACTTTAGAAACTCTTCATCAAAGGAAGACGTGGTTGGGATTCTGTAAAAGCTAAAGTTTTGTTAATTGTTATTTTATTACCACATGATCTATGAATGTGTTAAGCACGAAACCCCTTTTAGCTTTCTTTTATTTTTGTAGAAAATCCCCATAATCTTTCATTTTGCAATAGAAAATCCCCATCAAGTTTCAATTTGCCAAAAAAAAACCCACCTAAACTTCCTTATCTTGGCAAAAAAAACCATGGCTATTGAATTCCTATTGCAGATATATTAAAATTTATATAAGACATATCAGAGAAAAACATAATATTGACAAATAAATTCATTATAAAATATAACATTACTTTATACAAAAGCCAATCCTAAGTTTTAAACAGATAATATCCAATAAACATCGTAATGTAGTCATTGTAGCATACATGTAATTGTGAAACATATCGCGAAGATGCAAAAGAGTAGCAAAATTAAGACAAGTTTGTAATCTCAGTCAACATCTCAAAACATAAAACAAAATGATGTAAACTCTTCTTCCTCTCTACTTCCTCCCAAAATGTGGCACGCTAGCTCTCCACTTGCTACCAATGTGAGATTGTTGTGAAGGTATGAATTGATCTTTTTGTCTCCTTCCTCCAGCTAATCCATATCGAGAAACACACAAGCCTATTAAAAAACTTTAACAATATTTTTAAAAAGAATGATCACATTTTCGATGTAGAAGCAAATATACCTTACTAGCTCCTTCCTTATAGCTAGCAAGCACTATCCTCACTCTTTTTGGTGGATGGGCATAAGTTGGTGGTCCTTTACATGTTGGTTGATGGACCGATGATGTGCTAATTGGTTGAGGGGCATTTACTGGTATTGCTTGATGTGCATGCTAAAACTAGGGCTGTGCACATTGAAATTGAGGCTTTGCATGCTGGAATTGGGTCTATTTCACAATAACTTTTATTTCATATAAGTGTCGCATAGAACACGCACACAACTTTCATACAAATGTTACAAAAACCCCAAGTTTCAAAAGAAAAAACACCTTACCTAATGAGTTTGCACCTGTTGTGCATGTTGTAGTGGTTGAAGGGAAGTTTTCTTTCTCGGCTTGCCACCTTTAGTGCCTAATGGTATCCTTTATGTTTCAAGGACATGTGTGTTCTTCCAAGTTTTTTTATTGTGCCCTATCATTTGGCAGTTGGAGCACCAGATTACTATTCCAACCCTAGTCTTCACTTTTTCTGACCACCTCCATCAGCCCTTAAGGTGCAGCCCTTTTATTGTTTGAGGAAGCAATAAAGTATCATGGTTCATCTTTGTCCACAAACTAGAGTCTGACGCTAGCAAAAGAATCCCGGAATAAGCCTTCTTGTATGTAGCAAATGGGAGTAGTAGTCATCCTATGGTACTTCCGAGGTCCCACCCCTAAGATTACTTTGATGTGAGCGCCGGATTTGCAGGGAGGCCCAGACAAATTAATGCCGGCACAAGTCATATTATATATTATAGTATAGTTATATATATACTATATATATAGTTAATATATATATATATATTTATATATATATTTATAATAATATCCAGAGTGAATTAGGTATTATGTTATTCTCGGACCTAGTGTGGCTTAATGATATGATTTTGAAGAGGGCGGCGTGTTTTTTGTGCCCTGCAAGGAGCAACCCTATGACGCAGGGTATTAAATTTTGAGCAGTCGAAAGACGAGGCTGTCATAGAGCCGTTGAGCGGCTAAGGAAAAAAGCCAAGGACTGCCTCTTTGTGCTTGACTGGCGACCCTGGTTCTCGTTTGTGACATAAGAAACCAGAGGTCTGCTGTTTTGAAGAGAGAGATTAAGAGGAAGGAAATTTTGATTATGGTTTGTTGAGCTCTTGAAAGGGAGGGCTTTAAAATCTGATTGTTTAATTGGTAAACCTAGGTTATATTCTCTCCCTTCTCGACTAAAGTAAAACGATCTCCCGCTCCTTTATTCCGGACCGCGACCGAGCAGTGCAGCGCGGGGCGGAGTCGAGGATGAGACCGAGAGCTGCATGACGTCGGGGAGGTGCTGGGCGTGAAATCGAGAGATCTTGCGTCTCTGTGACACCGTGGACGTTAGGCTATTTTGCCGAACCCACCGTGATAACAATTTGGTCTGCTGTTCTTGTCCGTGATTTCTCTATGTAATAGCCTCTGTAGGATCCCCCTCGACTGCACTAGAGTGTGCAGTCCTAGAAACTTGGAAGAGTAAGTCGGGGAGAAGAAGGCGATATCCTTCACTGGTTTGAGATATCCCGCCCTTTTCAGATTGGTTGTTCCTTGGTGAGCACCGCGGAATTCTTATTCGATCTAAGTCTCTTGTTGAGTGTGCCGAAGTTGGCGCGGAGGGTGCCGAAATTTTTTGCTGCGCACAAACAAGTGGTGACTGCAGGAGGTGCCAGGTTTCTAGGGACTTGGGAAGCCTTGTTCCGAAGGATTCCCCGCGCTGTAAGTATAATTCCTATTTGGAAAGAAAATGTAAGAATCGAATAACCCATGGGAGACACCCAATGGCCAGCAATCACAGGGGGATCGTCTCTTGATCGAAAAATGAGGAATTACCCCAGAGTCTGAGCTATCCCAATGAATATAAAAAACTTTAGAATGTTCCCCGAAAGTTCGGTACGGCCAGTATCAAATTTTGTTTTTTCTGTGGAAGTGGCGTTCTTGCGGTGAAACACGGAGCAAAATACAAGCCAGATGTGCAGTTGAGAAGCCCGAATGGACGCCTTGGATGCAAAGTAAAATTTTGCGAGGAGACCCTCTTGAATTACCAGACAAAGTAGTAAAACCCCTTTCTGCTGATAGATGTGTAATGATAAGGTTGGGAAAGAAAGTAATAGAGGACATAGCACCTGATTTGCGCTCCTTTGCTGGCATGGTAATCCACTCTCTCAGGTATGCTTGACGCCGGTCTCATGTATAATGTAGATGAAGCGAATGACGAGACGTCGGGGCGAGAGAATGTGGGAAACCACTCATGAGAAGTATTCTGTGAATTGAGCATTAAGAATTCTGCTTCACTTTGAAGAACGA